GGATCTCACTATGTAGCCCAGGCTGGCCTCAAACTCATGGTGATCTTCCTGCCTCAGCCTCCCAAGTGCTGGGTTCACAGGCATGTGGCATCACGCCTGGCTATAACTTGGAATGCTTGTGTGGATGTCAACTTAGTGAGGAGCCTGAGAACCTATGGCTGAGGGTGTCGGGGTGCACACCCTCAGCCCCACCCCAGCGCTCTTCAGTCAGAGGTTGCACTTTAACAAGACTCCCGGATGCCACGTGTCTACACACAAGTTCTTGAAGCCCCCCTGGACACGTGCCGCTCCCCGAGGGACATGTGGGGACAATGACCTCGGCCACTCCACCTCCAGGGACAAGGTCTTGTTCTCAGTGACCTGTGCTATTCAGGCAAAGCCCACTTCTTGTCTGCTGGGGAAAAACTCCAGGGCAAAGAGGTGACAAAGGGGGCCAGGGATTTAGCTCAGTGGTTCCACCACCTGCCTCACAAGCACAAGGTCCCAAGTTCGATTCCCAGTACCAAAAAAAAAGAGGTGACAAAGGGCTCCTGTGTCACTTTATCCTTTTCTACTTTATTACTTCAAATTAACAACCACAATAAAGCTCAAAAAAGTCCAATATTTACACAGGAAAAAAGTACAAAATTCCCCCCAGAGTTCTTCAGTATTTTTTTTCAGTTTTTTAAATTACAAAGTAATAAAAAGCTTTTCTCTTTAATTAAAAAAAAAAAAAGAAAGGAGAAACAGAGGTAAATAAATTAGGAAATACACACATGGAGAAAACAAACAAAAATAAAATAAAAAAACAAAAAGACATGAACCAGGAAGGATGGAGAAATCCAACACTCAGCCCTGACCCCAGGCTCCTCCTGGGAAGGCAGGACCCGGAGAGGGGGGACCTCGGGTGACGGTCGAGACTGGAACTGATGACACATGGCCCGATGCTGCCTGGGAGCAACCTCCACGGATGTAGCCTAGGACCAGGAGTGGAAGATGGGGCCGCCACTGGCTGGCATTGGGTAGTGGTGGTGGCAGGACCCTCCGTGCCCTGAGGGATGTGGACGCTGTCCCCCATGCTTGTTAGGGGGAGGAGAACAGAAGCTTGGCCCGGCAGGTGAGGTGGGCACCCACTGTTCTGGGAGCACAGGTCACACATGGGCGCGAGGCATCATGGCCCTCGCCTCTCCACCCACTTGGGGTCTTCACGGAGAGGTGGACGAGGGACCTGGATGCTCCAGGGGACACTGGGAAAGCCCAACACAGAAAGTTGACTGCTGGCATCTCAGAGGCTGGGGCTGTGCGTGTCTGTCTGGTTGATTCCAAGATGCATGAAATCCAAGGTGCAGGAGACCTGCCTTCTGTGACCAAGCCACTCCCTAACATGAGCTCCTTGGACCACCTCCAACAGCTGCATCTCCAATGCCGAGAGGGTCCCCTCCTGCAGGTGGTGTATAACGCAGGACTCGGTGGCTGGGATGGGGCCATGCCATCCAGCTCCTGTGACCTGGTGTTGTCGGGGGAGCATTTGGCAGCCTGAAGGTGGGGGGCAGTGGGCATGGCAAAGGGGACCAGAATCTTCAGTGCTAAGGGCATCCCATCTTTTTGCCATTGGCAAAATAAATCGAAGAAATAAAATCCATCGTTGGTTTTGTGCTGGGTTTTTTCTCTTTGTTCATTTGAGTGGTTTTTTTTCTATCATTTTTTGTTTGTTTTTAAAAAAGAAAATACAGTGAAGACACTAGAAGGGGGAAGAAAGAAGACAGGTTAGGTGCCCAGCTGCCTGTGTCTACACATCTGCTGAGCCCTCTCCAGCTCCTACTTTCCTGTCCCTGAAACCATCATTCTCAGGGCTGCACCTGGCTGAGGGTCCAGTAGGTGCTCCACTTTCCTGCAAATCTACCTCCATCCTGTGGAATGGCCACTAAGTCATGCAGGGGCCGGCCCTGCATTAGTCCGGTTGCTGGGTCTGAGGTCTGAAGCAGCTAAGCACTGCTCTGTAACCTAGCTCTGTCTGTGGATGAATTTCTGCAAAGCGTCATGCTTATGGTGTCCTGAGGTGAGGCCGAGTCCCTTGAAGGGTAAACTACTGCCTGGTGAGACACACATTCCCAGGGAGCTCAGCCTCCCGCATCCACCCACACCCAAAGATGCCATCCACTGCCATCCTCCAGAGGGAGCTGCTACACACACTAGCTCTCCAGGGCTTGCAGGGGCCGTCTTGCCCCTTCCAGTAAGTGTGGCTCCCTTCCCAAGGATCTGTATGAACTAATGTGTTTTCCAGGGGCTGCAGCACAGCTCATGTCCCTGCTAGGACTAACTTCCCAGAACATTAAGGAAAGGGGCACAAGGGACAGACCCAAGGGCAGGAACAGGTTCTTCCAGCAGAAATTAACCTCTGCGGGGCCAGGATTGGGGCCAGGATTGGGGCCAGGATTGAGCCCAGGAAGCTTCAGCCCCAAACTGGGAAGGCTCCAAGGTTTTATGTTCCTGAGGACCCTTAGTTTTGGGGATACATGGTGTCACCTGCCACCTCTTCCACCACACACTGGTCTCCTCTGGGGCCATGGCTGTGTCCAGCACTCACCTAAGCAAACACTGGTCCGATGGTGGCTCTTCTCACTTTCCGAGGTGGTCAAATGGCACGCTTGTCTTTGGAGAGCAGGCGGAGAGATGGGGTACAGTAAACCTCAGGGCAAGTCCCTATACTGCTGGCAACCATGGGTTGGTAGGTCTCTCCCACCCTGCCAAGTCCCTCAAGCTGAGAGAAGGGGCATGGGATCCCAGAGACCCTAGGATGTCCCTGCTCTGGAGACAGCATCGTCCAGAGAGACGTGCTGCCAAAGGCAGCTCCCTCAGAGGCAGGAAGGGGGCAGGTCTCTGGCTTGACCAGGCAACCACAGGTCCCCCTTCCCAATCCCCTGGACCAAAAGGGCCCTCCTTGTAGGCAGGGCCACCAGATTGGCCCTCACCAATCCCTTGCTTGCTGACAGGGCCTGGGGACAATGGGGAACTTCCTGGCGGTAGGGGCTGGACCCCAGCTCTACCACTCACCAGGGCAAGTTTCATCTCTGAGCCTCAGTTTCTGCCTGTGCTTGGTGAAATGGGCTCAGAGACCCCAGGGGATTAAATGAGGCTGGGTCCTGGGCTGGGGGCTCCGTGTGTTGTGCTGCTCACCTGTGAGGCTGAGATTCGGGAGACCTCTTGCCGCCCAGTGAGGTCCGAGGATGAGACGTTGGCGGGTGCACCCCTGTGCAGCCTCATGCTCACCTTCCTCTCCCGGTCGACCCGAGAGATCGCTCTGGGAGAAGTATTGCCTGGAGGGAGGGCAAGGCGGGAGCACCCTCAGATGGGTACCCTCGGATTCTATGCCTCACTTACATGTTGTAATTTCCCCTTGGGAACAGCCCAGAGCCCCTGGCTGCTACTAACCAGCTTGCTGGATTCGGGAGGCTGGGGTAGAAGCCACAGGCTCGGCAGCACTGCGGAGCCGGTTGGCGGTGGCCCCCGTGGGTGGGCCTGGGGGCAGGGCTCGAGTGGCGGATCCTCGAAGCTGCCCCATCCTCTCCTCTCGCTCGTGCTCCCGTCGCTCCCGGTCCACATCCTCGGGGTTCCGGGCTGCACCCTGTAGGGACAGGAGAGGTGGCACTGGTCAGCTCAGAGGCCACGGTGTGCTGCCCCTTGGCCCCCTCACAGGACAGAGCAGGAATCCATGACCCAAGAGGGGCCAGAAGTAACGCTCGATCACAAAGTGGAACCAGATGAAACCACACGATACCCAGAGGGAGAGAAGGCAGTGTCTGAGGAGTGGCAGGAGTTCAGGCTTCCTACAGAGCTGGACAGGGGTGATAAGGTTGCTACGATGACCAAAGGAACCTTGGCCCTCCCAACCCAGCCTCCTCTATGTACCAATAGCCCTCAGGCGCCTGAGGCTTCCAAACCAGGCAGGGAAGGCAGTCAGATGTCCACCTAGCACAAAGGCAAGGGATGCCCAGAAAGGAAAGGACAGGCCCCAGGCGACAACACTAGGTGAAGGCAGGGCCAGGACCCAGGTCCCCTGGTGTTCAGCCAGGGGCTCTTTTCACCAGAGGGCCATCCATGCCCTGCTCCCAGACCTGTCCACAACTCCTGGCAGGTGCCATGGGGCCACAGCCAGGAGGCCCAGGGGACCCACAGAGATGCTGCCCGTCGTGAGACAGTAGCTCTGGGGGCCAGGGAAGGAGCTGGACTGGATGCTCCATAGAGAAAAGAGGCCCAGAAGGAAAGGCTGGAGACCAGAGTCCTGTGCCCCAGGCCCTGCCCTCTAGCTGCTGCCGCCCCCTGCAGGAAGAAGTGAGAAGCCCAGAGGAACATGGCTGGGAGCAGTGCCTGGTGGTTACCTAGTCGGTCCTGGGGCCGTCCACAGGGAAGGGCAGGGGGCTGGCATGAGGGGGGCCGCATCTGTGGAGGAGAGAGCTGTGGGCTGAGTTGGAGGCCCACTCATGGGCATAGGGCACGGGCACCTACCTGGCACCCCATCTTTCCCAGGGACCTGGCTGAGAAGGCTCTTTCGCCTAGGGAAACAGAGTGGGCCTGAACTCCTGGGGGAAGTAGCTAGTATCACAACGATCCCTGATGCCTTGTGAGGAACCAACCCAGGTCAGTCACATTCCCACGGGCAATCTGCTGGCACTGCTGACCCTCTGACCCCCTTCCTGAGGCATCCTAAGGCGGCCTGGAGTCTGCAGCCTCCAGCCCTCACCCTGGGCTCCACTACTCAGTTGCTGGCTACAGAGACTCAGCCAGAGCAACAGTCCAACTCGAGAAACAAAGAGTGACAATACTCATTCTGCAGGGCAGGGCCAACGCCATCCCCTGGTTGGAAAAACTAAGGCTTGGTGAGGCTATGTGATCCCCTCAGAAGTGCAGTGATAAGAAGCCAGTAGCTGTATGGGTGGCTGAAAGCTGGCCCCTGGCTATCCCAGCAGGCTCGGGCTGATGCCAGCCCCCAGGACAGGAGGAACACCGTGACCCTCTGTGTATCCATTCACCTAAGCAACGCCTCGACAAAGGCACACCAGGGAGTTTTTTTTTTTTTCGGTCTTTACTTGCCCATAAGAAAACACAAAAGATCAACATCAAAGTCATCCAAGCATTCAGCCTTGTTGTGTGGACTCCATCCTTGGTTGTATGCAATTTGCTCCTGGCCAGATGGTCGGACTTCAGAACACAGGGTACTGTGTACCAGAGTGGCATCCCAGTGTCAGGTATCTGGGGATCCTGGTGCCCTGATGGTGATGCTGAACAACATGGGAAGCTACTTCAAGGTCAAAGGCAAGATCCTTCCCATGGGAGAGTCCAGGCCCATGGAGCCCAGCATGAAGTCCTGTCTGTTGGCGTGGCTTCCTGCAGAGTGAGTGGGGGCCTGGCTGCAGAAAGTCCCCATGGCGTGTTCTGTATGTACTCCAGTCAAGGGGCTCCTGGAAGTGGTCCGGCTCACCTTGGTGGTGACAGGGCCAGCAGCTAGTAGAGGGCCTCTGCTCAGCTTCACTCCAGAGCTTGCTCCAAGGAGACCCTAGGAAGTGGATCGGAGCCCCAGCAACAGTGGGGAGGGTGTGCCTGGCCTGGCTTGAAAGATCTTGTTGGCTGGACAGTCCTGTGAGGGATGCTGTAACGGAGGCTCTGGGATGACAGAAACATGCCCAACGGGCTGCCTAGCCACTGTGAACTTGAAACAAGGCGATAGTGACTGAAAAACTACATTTTTAATTTTGATTAAATTTTATTAATTAAAATTAGCCTATCATAGCGGAGGCACAAGTCTCAGCAAACACAAACCCTCTCTGGAGCCGTGATGGGTTGAAGTGGGAAACCCTGCCCAGAACTGGACTCGGATTCCCAGGCCCTTGACCACACGAGAAGCTGAAGACGCCCACTGCTAATCTCCCACCTCACGTCTGGAGAGAAAGGAAACAGAGGCCTCTCCCCAAGGCCCCTGGTGTGTGAGACCACATTCCCCGCCTGACCTCTGTCTGCCACCTTGGAGGACAGGACCAGGCCACTGTCCAGGACCCAGAGAGAAGAGGAGCTCAAGACCAGTGTGTGCTTGGGACACCCGAGGACAAAGGCTCGGTCCTCAGTGCCTGGAGGAGCAGGTCAGGGCCACGCTGTGAAAGGAGGCACAGCAGGACGGGATGCGGGGACATTTAATGAGATCAGTTCAATACAGAGGCTGCCGATGGTCCTGCAGTCCACGCTCACTAGGCCCCTCCTGGCAGGGGCCATTATCCCTTCTTCAGGCTTGTTCTGCCCTTGGGCAGCTGGTTCATTCCTAAGAATCCCACGCAGGGCCTCTTCTGTCATACCCTCTTCAGTGCACGGCTACCTCTCTCGAACAGCTTGTCACTCCCACCATCCCAAACAAACGATGCCCTATCAGGCCTGGCCCGGGTGGGCTCGGGTACATCAGATGACGTCAGAACTGGGGGCCTGGAGTCCAGACCACAGGCCAGTAGTTTTGTGGTGGTAGCTCCTCCACCTCCTCCACAGGGCCATCTGGGGAACCTTGGGTGCCCAGGAGCGCCGGGCACCTGGGAGTGACAGAGAGTACAGCTGAGGTTCAGCCTTTGCACTCACTAGCCGAGTGGCAAATCTTGGAAGGGCCAGGACTTGGAGGGTCCTTACCAGTATGTGGGTGAGCACGAGGGCCCGGCACAGGGCCAGGGATGGGGGCAGGGTGGTACAATAGCTTCGCTGTCTTGGGGCTGAGCCTGGCTCGAAGAAGCCCCCTTTTTCCAGAAGAGATGTGAAAGAAGACATAGGATTTCACGGACTCCAGAGCTCCAGGTATGGCTGGCGAATGCTTCTCCCCACCCCACCCCCAGGATCCTTAAAAGAGGGAGACAGAACGACTGCCTAGCAAGACCCAGGGTCCTAGGACCAGGAGGAAAGAAAACACTCTGCATGGGTCCAGGCTGGCCCCAGGGGACTCGCAGGAGAAGGCAGCCACCTGGGACGTGAAGGACAAGAGGAGCAGGAGGATGGTGCAGGCAGCCAGCAGGGCAGCGGGTGGGCCTGCCAGTGATAGCCATGTCTTGCTGGCTGCCCTGCTGCGGCAGGAGAGCAGACGCTCTGGGACCCCAATGAGGTCACTTGCGCTGTCCCGCTCATACTTCCCATTGGCTGGGAGCCCCGCCCACCACTGGGTCACGCTTGCCCTGTGAGTCAGGGCCTGCCCCTTCCAGTCCCCCAAGCCCGCCTCGGCCTTCAGGTGACTCACAAATTTGAGCATGTTCCAGTCGAAGACGTAGTCATAGGAGAAGCCCTGCCGGTGGAAGAGGTTGCGGAAGAGCTGGCGCAGGTAGGAGTAGTCGGGCTTGTCATCGAACCGCAGGGAGCGGCAGAAGTTGAGGTATGTTGAGAACTCAGCTGGTGGGGGGCGTCACACGGGACGGAAGAGCCACAGTGAGGGCCATGCTCTGAGGGGCCCCAGCAGCCATCACTGCCCTGGCCACCCACTGTCCCAATAGATACTTTCAACCCGAGAAGGGCACAATGAAGAGAGCAGCAGCCCACCTAAGAGCAGGACCCCAAAGTCACGGCTCCTTGCCTGCCCCCACCAAGCATTCTGGGGTCATGGAGACGGGAGCAACAGGTGTTCAAGGGCCCAGCAGTGAATGTGACCACTACATGACCCCAGCAATACGAAGAGGACTTCCCTTCCCCCCTCCGCCCACTCAGGCCTAGAAAGGGCCCTTGGGAGTTGGGCATGGGCTGGGGACACGGTGGGTACACCAGGCTACACAGCAGCAGAGCGAGATGACTAGTGCTCTCTGGGACTGGGTGGCCCTGACTTGCCCTCAGTCGGAGGAAGCCTCCCTGAGCGCTCACTACTCACAGGGGTAGCCTTTGCAGAGGACCTCGATGGGCGTGGACATCTTCTTCTCACTAATCCGCTCATACTTCTGGCGCTTGGTGGCTGCTTTGAGGCCCTGCCAGGGCAGGGAGCCCAGGTTGAAATACATGAGCACGTAGCCCAGGCTCTCCAGGTCGTCACGACGGCTTTGCTCTGCAGAGGCGGGGGGAGGTGAGCGGCAGGGTCCCCCGTGCCCCTTGGTTCACAGCAACCCTGTTCCACCCAGCTCTCCTGCCACAGAGGAGGGCCTGAGGCAGGGCTTTCTCAGCTCCACCTGGGCCCCGTTTCTCCAGCCCAGCCGCTACATCATTCAATAACTATGAGTGGGCACCGCTGCCCCCTCGCCTGGCCCAGCGCACTGCAAGGGCACAAGCTGTGGCATGAGATGCACCCAGGGTCAAATCCGGTTCCTGCACTAGCCAAAGTTCATGTTCTTAAGCTGCCTGGGTTAAACCTCTGGACCTGCATTTCCTGATGGTACAAAATGGAACTGTCACCCACTCAACAGAGCCCATGAAGGGGGCTGGCATCCGCAGCTCGATGAAGGGGGAGATAGGAACTGTCTCATGGAGGCCCTCCACAATGTTCCCAGGAGCCCAGCATGGTGGCACATGCCTGAAATCCCAGCACTGAGGAGGCTGAGGCAAAAGGAGCGCCCTTGAGTTTGAAGCCAGCCTGGGCTACACAGTGAGTTCAATGCCAGCCTGAATGACATAGTGAGACCCTGTCCCCAAAAAACCAAAATAAATAAAACAGAAACCAAAAGCCAAGTCCCCAGGAGCCTCCAGCCAAGCTGGAGGTGGGTCCAGCCAGCAGCCCAAGAGCATACTCACCGATCCCCAGGTGGGTGTTGATGGAGGCATAGCGGGCAGTGCCGGTCAGGTTCTTGTTTTCCCGGTAGGGGATGTGCTGGTGGGTGCGGGCGTCCCGGTACTTCTTGGCCAGGCCAAAGTCGATGATGTATACTAGGTTGCCTTTCTTTCCCAGGCCCATGAGGAAGTTGTCGGGCTTGACGTCTCGGTGGATGAAGTTCTTGGAGTGGATATACTCAATGCGGCTGATCTGGGGGTGGGGGACAGCAAGTCTCTTAGCAAGTCTCTTAGCAAGGGCTCAACAGAGGGGCCTTCACCACAGTGAGCTGGGCACAGGGCTGTGGCTCCAGAGATGGCCAATGACACATGGTCCCTGCCCTGGCCAGAGAGAAAGATCTGTCCTCAACCATGGATGACGATTCCAAGGGACAGGTCAGGGAAGGCTTCCTGGAGGAAGTGATGTTAGGATGCGCTCTGAAGGACAGGTTTACAAAACATGTTGTGAGACAGAGCAGGAGATGAAGGAGAGAAGTTAACACCAGACCCGGAAGTGAGGATGCAGCAACGAGACAGCCCAGCAGAAACCTGAGGTGCGGTTCTACCCCACAGAACCCAGGGTGCCAGGAGCACAGTGAGCAGGGCAGAGAGCCTGAGGGCAGGAAGCACTGAGCCTAAATTCAGTAGGGGCAGGAGGAGCACAAATGAAAGAACTCATTGCCTAGCTCTAAAGGACACTAAAGTCACCCTTTTTGCCTTTCTTCCCTTTAAGGGATTTGTTTTGTTTTAAAAACCTTTCTTTTCTCTTTAAGGGATTTTTTGAAGCTCAAATTAACATCTATGCACATGAAGCAGTCCTCAGGCAGGTCAGGCAGGCTCTGGGGCCTGGGCTTCAGGCTGGCCGAGAACCTCCAGGGGGGCTTTTGTGAGTTTCACCACCAGACTCTGACAACCCCTCTCCAAGCACAATGCACACCTGGCCTCAACCTGCAAGCTGTGTGCAGACTTCGCAGGTCAGCTGCAGACCAGATCATAGCGATATTGGCACATTTCACATCAGGCCCCAAACTGTATCATTTTACATAAGAAATGTATCATTTTATTTATACGCATACACACTTTTTCTTTTTTGGCAGTGCTGGGGATCAAATCCAGGGCCTCAAATATGCTAGACAAGTACTCCACCTCTGAGCTACTGTCCCAGCCCTAGTTACAAATTTTTAAAAAGCTTTCCTTATAGTCACCCTAATACCTGCTCTGGCCTAGGCACTGCCTAGCATCCCTCATAATCCCTATGACTGGCAAAGGGGGGACTCACCCCAGGTGACTGAACTTCAGGGAGGCTTAGTAACCCAGCCCTCACAGGAAGACAGAGTCCCAGGCCCTATCTCAGGAGCCTGACTTGGCAGGCTGGAGCCAGGCCTGGAATCTGCATTGTAAACCAACACTCCGAAGACTGCTATGTCCTTGTCTCTGCCTCCTCCTCCAGCACCCTCAAGGCAAGAGGCAGGGCTGGTATCCTGTGCCCACTGGCATGCTGGGGAAACAGAGGCTGAGAGGGAAGCAGCCTGCCCAGCAGGTCAGAGCACCTGGCTGGATGTGGAGGTGGGGGACTCACCATCTGGTCGGCCAGGAGCAGCACCGTCTTGAGGCTGAACTTGCGGGAGCAGAAGTTGAAGAGGTCCTCCAGGCTGGGCCCCAGCAGCTCCATGACCATCACGTTGTAGTCGCCTTCAGCCCCACACCACTTGATGGACGGGATCCCCACTGGGGCCAGGAGAGAGGGTCTGTCAGGGCCCGTCTCCTCCAACCCCATCATCTGCATGGGCACAGCCCTGTCCCCTGCGTGCCCCTCCTGCCACATCTCCCCCAAACATCGGCATATTCACAGCCCTGCCCGCCTCCTCGCCTTACCTCCCCCCTGCATCATCTTGTAGAACTTGCTCTCAATGTGCAGCTGTGGGTGCTTTGTCTTCACACACTCTAGCTTGATGGCCACTTCCTCGCCAGAGGCGATGTTGGCACCTGCCAGGGGCGGAGAAAGCAAAGCACCACAGTCACCCTGCTCGTTGGGTGGTCCCCAGACTGCTGTTCCCCAGGCCTGGGGTCAGGTGCTCAGGGCCTCTGGGGGATGCTGGAATGGCAGGAGGGGATGCTGTGGGACACAGAGGGGAGGCAGGGGGAGCGCAGCAAATGGTTCCGGAGGGGAGGGAACAGGAGCAGGTGTCCAGGGAAGGATGGGAGATGCCCTGGGCTGACCAGTGAACCCTAATCCAACACAGCAAGAGAACCTGATGCCTGGGCGTGGTGGGGACAGAAAGGCTCAGAGACCATGCAAGGGACAGAACTGAATCCTGGAGAGGGCAAGCACAGGGGTGCACTGGGCTAAAGGGGCTGTGCAGGAGAGAAGCCCAGGGAGTGCACCCTGACAAGCCTGAGTACCGGTAAGCTCTGGAGGGACAGCCCAGGGCCACGTCCCACCATGCCCAGGTCAACACAGACATCTTCAGAGTCCGCCCCAGCATCTTCCCCGGGTCCCCTTCTCACTGGGGGGCTGTACAGGTGAGAAAACAGAACCAGGTGGGGTCAGCTAGTAATGGTGGGCTGGAGAGTGACCTCAGCTCAGCTGGCTTCCAGGTCGGGGTGTGAGGGTCCCACGTGCACCTCCACCTCTCCCCACCCCTTCCTGGGCTCTTACTGCAGCCTCGAGAGGTGGTGCTTAGGAAAACACCCTCACACACCCCAAGGCCCCGCTCAGCCTGGACCCACCGCAGGCCTCAGGAAGTCACAAGAAAGAGCAACTGAGGGGCCGGGGATCTAGCTCAGGGGTTCCGCTGTCTGCCTCACAAGTGCAAGGACCCGAGTTCAATCCCTGGCACCAAAAAGCAAAAAAGAAAACAAGAAAGAGCACCTGCGAAAATGGCACAGCGCCTCAGAAACGGCCAGTTTCAATGGGTGAGGTGACCTGGAGGCCAAGGGGCTACACTCAGGGGCAGGGGTTTCCCTCCCAGCACCAGGAGTGAACCAGCAAAGCATCACACAGGCAACCAAACAGAACAGCAACAGACACAGCACAGGAAGAACCCGGGGAGGATAAAGCTGGCACCTCCGGTCAAGGGTGAGACCAGCCAGGGAGTGTCCTTGGCACAACTGGCTCATACCACAACCAGGAGAAATGCCCTGTGGAGCCGGAAAAGTTCACATGGAAGGAAAGCAAAGTGCCTCCGGGCACAGCCTCTTTCACGCATCTGATAAAAGTCACAAATCCTTCACCAAGCAACTCCACTCCCAGGCTCAGGCCTTGGGGACGAGTGTACACCGGGAGAAAGGTCAAGGATGCTGTGTTAGTTACTTTCCTTGCTGCTGAGACAAAATACCTGACACCCAAGGTTAAGGGGGGAAGCTTTACTTAGCTCATAGTATGCAGAGGCTTTAGTCCACAATCAGCTGGCTCCAAGGCAGGGCAGCACGTGGCAGAGGGGAAACAGTTCATGGTACCCTCACGATAGCAATGCAACAAAGGGCCTTAACAGCGTCTTTCTGCCCCTTTTACCCCATCCAGACTACCAGATAAGGGTGGTGCCAAACCAACCACTCACACGTAGTTTCGCAATCACAGGCAACATCACACATTCCAGATGCAGTCACCTCCGGAAAAGACTGCATGAAGCTTTGGGGGACATCTGGACACAGCCACAACAGACGCACACAGGAACCAACACCCTAAAGGCCCAGCAGCAGCAGAGTGCCCAACAGTGATGTGATCACACAAGCGACCCGAGGGCAGTGAAGAGGGACAGATGATGGCTTCACACAGCAACCGGGCTACTCCCAGCTCCCCAACTCTGGGCAGCAGCGCTCCTCACAAGAGCCCTGCGGCAGAAGCAACCCAAGCAGGCACCAGCAGATGAAAGGAGGAACAGAATGTGGCCCATCCACAGGGTAGAATATTATTAACCCATTAAAAGGAATGAAGTGCTGATACATGCTACAACATGGATGACCTTTAGAAATGTTCTGTTCAGTGAAAGAAGCCAGACACCAAAGGACAAACAGTACAGGAAATGTCCCGCATAGGCAAATCCACTGAGACAGAAAGTACGTGAGTGGTTGTCAGGGGCTGGGGGCAGGGAAGTGGGGAATGGCTGCTTATTGGGTGGAAGCGTGCTTCTGGGGTGATGAAATGTTTTGGAACTAGATGGGGTGATGGTTGCACAACACTGCAGTAAAGGCCACTCAACAGTGCAATTTCCAATGCTTCATTTTGTTACAGGAACGTCACCTCATCTTTTTTAAAAGGGAGAGAAAGAAGCTGACAGGTTTGACTTAAGCACGCAATACTAACGACATAGTTTAGGGTATGAGCATGATAAAAACTTCAACCAAAGGAAGGATTTGTGTTGGGCAGGCCTGTAGTCCCAGCCCTGGGTGGAGGGGGGCCGAGACAAGAGGACTACAGAGAGTTCAAGGCCAGCTTGGGCTTTGTAGCCAGATCCTTTCTCAAAAACCTAAAACAAAACAAACAAAAAGGGGAAAAAATTGAAGATGTCAGCTGGGCCGGGCATGGTAGCATACACCTGTAATCCCAACACTCAGGAGGCTGAAGTAGGAGGATCGCTGCAAGTTCGATACCAGCCTGGGGTACATAGTGAGTTCAGCCTGGAATACATAGCAAGACTTTAACACACACACACACACACACACACACACGTATCAGCTGGTAAGTTACCTCTGCAAGGAGAAGGCAGAAGACAAGCATATATCCTCTTTCAGCTAAGTGGTGCCCAGGGAAAGGTCCCATGCAACCTTAGGGGAAGGGTTTTCATCCTTCAATACCCAGAAACCATTTAAAACCAACAATGAAAAAGCCCTCACCTCCATGATCAGACACCTGTACCTGGCCTGACCCTTGGCCAGAAGAACCCCTTCTGTGTGACAAAGCTCCAGAAAGCAGCCATGTGCATGATTCTGGTGACAGGCAAAGGGCTAACAGATAACCAGCTCCCCAACCAGGAGGAAGATGACACCAAGCAGGGCAAAGGGTGTCAACAATGCTAACCGGAGAAAGAGATCATTAATATGAATGGCTCACTCAGAGGAACGGATGCGCTACCTCCTTGTAAGAGAAGTGCAAATTAAAATGATCCCAGAAGACCATTTGTCAGCTAGGACTATCCAAAGCCCCACAAGGAGACAGAAGGCGGCTGCTGGCACCTAGCTGGCTTGGAAGGTGACCAGTACTCCCCACAGGAGGGTCACTGCCACCACCCAGCTCTGACCAGCAATGCCACAGCTGGGACTTCTGCCACCGTCCTTGCCCAATGCAAAACGAGGCCCAGACAAGGCCGTGCACTGTCTGCTGTTTGTAGCAGCCGCAGCTTGGAAAGGACCCAAATGTCCATCATCCGGGGACTGGTTAAAGGAAGAAAAGCCCATCCATGATACAGAACACAAAGGGGGAAGAACAAGGACACACTCACTGGGCAGAAGTGGAAGATCTCCAGATGCAGGAAGCGTAAAAGCGAAGCACAGAACATGGATTCTGGGCTCTCCTTAGTTTCACAACAAGGTGGGGAAATAAGTCGTGGTGTTCAGCTGCGTCTACGCAAAGAATACTGGGGGACCAGCCAAGCCTGGGTGGGGCTGGGGACGCCTCAGATACCTCACTCTGAGTCGCCACTATCTTTAGGGAGATGAAATTTACATACTCTGGCATTTATTCACTTCAAGCATACAACTCACTCAATGCATTCACGGAGCTGAGTGACCATCACACAATTGATTTTTGAATGTTTCCAACACCCTCGAACACCTATACTCATGACAACCACCACTGTACTTTCCGTCCATGGATCTGCCTATTCTGGACATCTTGCAGAATTACAACTATACGAGTCAGGGGCTCAGTGGTGCCTTGCCTGCTTAGCAAGTGCAAGGTCCTGAGTTCAATCTCCAGTACCAACAAAACAAAACAAAACAAAAACAAAAGGAAACTATTCAATATGTGATCTTTTGTAACCTGCTTTGTTCACATTAACACATTTTTGTGTTTTCATTTTTGGTTTTGTCTACGTATTTTAATTTTCAGCCACATAAAAGGGAAAGATAAATAGGAGACTAAATCTAATGAGCAATTATGTAGTGCAAACATGTACTAATAAAAATTTTTAAAATACAGTACAGGTGGCCTAGCAGAGTGCTTGGCACGAGATACCTGCTCCACAATGGGAGAGCTGTTGAGAGAGGACCAGCCTGGGCTTCAGAGACAAACGGATGGGAGGAATGGAGGGACAGGGGAGGGAGGGGCAGTGGCTGCCCATGTAGGCACAAAGGAGGCAGGAATAAGCAAGCCCGGGGGAAAAGGAGCCTCTCTCCAGGCTCCTGGCACAGAAACAGGATCATGTGGCCCTAACCCTAACCCACGGCACGTGCAAAGGCCTGGTGGAATAGGATGCTGCCAAATCTAAGTGGTTTGGTGTAGCCGAAGAAGATGGAGAAAGAGGTGGACAGGGCAAGATCTGAAGGGTCTCCAGTAGCCAGCCAAGATCCTGGCCTTCAGGCTGGGTGGTGGGGCCAAGGATGGGGGTGTGATCACAGGAGGCTCAAACTGGGCAGCACTGACATTCAGGGGCCAGAGAATTTCTTGTTGTGGGGCTGTCCTGGGCACTGTGAGGTATGTAGCAGACCCCTCATCTCTACGCATAATGTGCCAATAGCTACCCCTTCCTGTCACCCCTTAGTTATAATAACCAAAGAGGTCTCCAGATCTTGTCAAATCCTCTGGGGGACAACACCCCCCCCACACACACACCCCGAGATTCACAGATACATTAGAAAAGGATGGAAGGGTCTTGAAGGGGCAGGGAGCAGAGACCAAGGACAGCCTGAGGCAGGGCCTCCAGCACTGGGCTCGGCAGGAAGGCAGAGGCAGATGGAGTCCTTCATCCCTGGAGCCCTGACACTATCCTGCCAGGACTATGCTGCATCGATCGTTGACACACGGAGAAACTGAGAGACCACAGACCCATTTGCTGCACACCTTCCTAAAGACAGGGACCCAAGCTATTGGGCAAAGTCTTCTGACCCCACAGTGCTGGAAACCTGTCTCAGATACTTCCCCCACTGCCAGGACCCCTGGTTCTTCATTCCCATCAGGAGGCTGCCTGCCTCTCTTCTGATCCCCACAATTCTTGTAATCACTGAGCCAAGGTTCAGAGAGGTTTGGTAGCTGGCCAGGACTGGAAGTGTAGCCGCCAGAGGCCCTGTGTTTTTCTCCATTCCAGTTCCCTAGCATGGCATTCATGCAACTGGCTGGCGGCAGGGCTGGACCAGCTGAGGCAGGCCTGCCCTGGAGGAGTCCAGCTTGTGTGCTGGGGTAGCAACAAAGGCAACTGGCCATATGGAAGGAGCAGGGCAGGGATGCAGAGGGGACCAAGGCAGAGGAGCCCTGGGCGGGGCTGTGTCAGGAGAGGAGTGAGCTGGGCCTGCCGCAGAGTGGCCTCATGCCGAAGGCTTGGTAGCCACAAGAAATGGCCCCATTTCAGGCATAGAACATGGGGGACTGATCAGAACCCACAACAAAAACCTAAACAGAGAAGGGCCTAGGCCTGGCCCACCCCAGTGGGGCCAGGACCCTGGGAAGCTATAGGTGGGGAATGGGGTGACAGGCCTTGAACAGGGGCTCACTCACAGACACAACTGGGGACCTGGAGACTGCAGGGTGGGGATGTCGGCCTCTACCCCAGTGGCAATAGCAGCAGCGACTCTGCCACCCCCATCAGAAGCCTAGAGTGTGCCCCCTACCGACTCACCCCAGAATCACCTGCCTGGGGAGCACTGCTCCCTACCTCTTTCAGAGCTGAGGACCAGCAATCTTTAGAGGTCGAGTCCCCCAGGATACAGAACCAGCGAGGGGGCCCAGGCCCGGCTGCCTCTGGAACCAGGGCCCTGCCTTCCTGACTGTCCCCTCAGATGCAGGGTGGGGACCTGGAGAGGAGCCACGGGCTGGCAGCCGCACACGCGCCCACAGCTGATCCTGGAAAGCAGGGTTTGGACGCCCAGCCTGGCTCCACCTGCAGAGGCCATCTGGAGTCGGGCCCTGGCCTGAGCACTGCCGAGGATGTGGCCAGAGCTCTGAACAAAGGGAGCCAGCCGGGGAGGCCTCTGGTCACCACTGTCTCTGCCTCAGCAGGACAGAGGCCAAGGATGGCGCTGGCAGGAGCCTATGTCAGGACAGGCCCCCAATACCCTCATACCCAGTAAAGTCCAGACTCGGGGAGAACTGTGCCCCCTCCCAGGCCCAAGGGGCCCCAGAGCCTTTGAAAGCAGCAACTCCCAAACCATCCTGAGGGTAGGGGCACAGCAGGAATGCAACACAGCTGAGCCTGGCATGCACAAATGTTTTATACACCAGGCTCTCTTCACCCTGCGCGATTCTATCCTAGACAGGGAGGCCAAGGCCAACAGAGCTCGTGGCTTACCCAATAGCACACAGCTAGTAAAAAGAAAGCCAGTGCCCAATGTGGTGGTGCATGCCTGTAATCCCAGCACATGGGAGACTGAGGCAGGAGGATCGCCTGGACTTTGAGGCCAGCTTGGGCTACATAGTGAATTCAAGGCCAGCCTGAACTACACAGCAAGACTCTGGTTCAAAAAATAAATAAGTAAATAAACAGAAGGAAGAAGCCATCATCCAAATACAAACTCAAGTGACTCTAGAGCCAATACAAAAAGGAGTACACCTTGGCCTAGTTTTTAAGATAAATGAGAGGCCTCTGTGGCTAAACAGGAAGTTCTGCCCCCAGGGAGGTGCCCCACATGAACTAGGGACACTGGCTTTTCTGAGTGACTGTGGGCTGCCCTTCCTCCCATTTGGGCTTCCGGGTTCCTTCTGCAGCAAGTGGGCCTGGACTGGCCCAGGAGCCTCAGCAGTAAGAGAGGTCTTTACACCCATCCAAGTTTCACCAACAGAAGAAGTTGGGGACCCCTGTGGCATCAACAAAAATACTGAGTACTGAGGCGCAGAGAGAGAAAGTGACTTATCCCAAGTTACACAGCAAATGAGAAAAAGACTGGGGATACCTGAACTGGGCTCAGTCCCAAAATCCTAACCTTTTTCTATCCTGCCGCAAGTGGGGCTTCTGTATGCTACAGTCTCCATTTCTCCCTCATTCCTTTGACCAGCCTTCCCCAGACATGAATGTGGGCAGGCCGCACGCTGTGCACCAGGGAGGGAAAGCCAACACAGACCTTCATTTAACTTAATGAATCCAGGGAGGAGGTCTTGCTGTGTTCCCCAGGCTGGTCTCCAACTCCTGGGTTCAAGTGATCCTCCTGCCTCAGCCTCCCAAGTAGCTGGCAGTATAGACATGTGCCGTGCTCTGCTACACAAAACCTTCCAACTAGCTCCAACTACCGCTTCCTCCACTGTGAACTCTGGGGCTGTTTACAAGGGAGCATGAACTACTGTGCGCCTGGCTGGGGACTGCACTTCAGCTAGCACTTCAGTATACAAACGACTTCCCCAGGCGCCACTTTGCCGGGGCCTCCTGATGGCACTTGGTTAGTCAGGCAGCACCAACACATAGACTAGAGACAGGACCGACAAAGCAAGGGCAGGAACCAGCCCTGTCTACGTCTCTCAGTTGTCTCAAGTAGAGGCTGTGGGTGTGAAGGGCGCCTTTGCTGATTTTCTGGAGTGAACTTGGGTGGTCAACTTGACCACAAGGCACCCCGGCTCCTCAGTAGAATGTGTTGTCCTGTCCCCATCCCCAGCCCTGAGGCTCCCTGAGCAGCAGTGTCATACACTAGAGGGCAGGGACCCTGACCACTGGGGAAGGGGACCCTGGGGTCTGAATGGAGGCACATGGCACACGGACTCGGTTTCCTCTGCCCAGGCCAGAACCTATTTATTTTCATTGTCCAAGGAGGGAAACTAAGGTGCAGAGGTGGTTCAGGCTTGCCTCAGAGGGCAGGAGAAAGCCCACCCTGAGGCTTTGCTGCCTGCTCCCACAACTCCAAGCCTCTCCAATCGAAATCTCCACCCAGATAGCTCCCTCCAGACCAACAAAAGGGAGGGCTCAGGCAGGATCACCCACAGGCGAGAGCCTCCCCTCTTCAGGGCAGGAGGGGACTGAGAAGTCAGGGATTTGTTTAAAAAGATACCCTCGGACAAACTCAGACTTCCACCAGGAAGCACACCCGGAGAGAGAAAGGATCCCTAGGAGACCCCTCCCCTGTGTCATTCCAAAGCCAGCCTGGGCTGCATTCCAGGAGGCCAGATCACTGCGTGAGGGGCCTCGCTGGGGGTCACGCAGAGGCCCAGGGCTCCTCTCTGTCCCCAACATCCTTCTCCCAGGACACAAAAGACAGAGACACAACCCAGAGTGGGCTTTCCCATGCCTAGCTGGAAATCCAGGTCAGCCACAGCTGGGAATCAGAGCTAAAATTATGCTCCTTAGCTGGGTGCTGTGGCCCAAACCTGTAATCCCAGCACTCCGGGAGGCTGAGGCAGGAGGAATTCCAAGCCAGCCTGGGCTACATAGTAAGTTCAAAGGCAGCCTGAACTACAAAGTAAAATCCTGTCTCAAAAACCAAACCAAAACAAACTACCCTCCTCTACCCATCCAGAAGCCTCCCTACTTGCCTCCCCTCCACCCAAGACTTCCCTCCCCAGCTGGGGTGGGCCTAGAGGCACTGCCCACCACTGGTACAAAGTTCTGGCTCCAGACTGTGACACCCTCAGGACACTTACCCAGGTAGATGTCCCCAAAGGACCCGCTCCCGATCTTTCGACCCAGGCGGTACTTATTCCCCACACGCAGCTCCATGGTTCACTCTTGCTGCAGAGGGAAATAGAAATAGTGGGGTCAGAGAACGGGGAGCTGGGAAAGGAGCCCCCCAGGATGGACCCCACCCCTCCCCACAAAGGCCAGGCAAAGCCCCCAGGGACCTGGAAGGCCCAGCATCCTCCCTCCCACCATCCGGGAAGCAATCTGGCCTTACTTTGCTTGAGGGCAACCAGGTGCCAGGTAGCCAGTACCCAGCCCTCCCACACAGCTGGAGAACAGCTGAGGAGGCTCAGAACATTCAGCCTGGCCTGGCAAAAGGCGGGCGGAGTGGAAGCCAAGGGCCAAGAGAAAACAACAGCCAACAGAGAGCACCCCTTTGGGAGACAATGTCAAGGACCCTCTAGTAGGAGCTTCTCAAGGGGAAGACTGGCCACAATTGGCCCAAGACTCTGAAAGGAAAATCAAGGACAAAGAGGGTATCGGGGAGGGGACACACACAGGAGATGACATCCTGGAGGCACTGCCATGGGCATCACCAGCAAGCCCCAAGCTCCAGGGATGGGAGGATAACCTGGCGGGAGGGGTCCCAAAGGACCCCTTTAGTGCCTTTCCAGGCCTCTGAAATGAGGGTCCCTGTACCTCCAACCCCAGCCCCAGACTGGAGGTCAGGCCTCCACACTTTGCCTGGTCTGCCTGGGGCCTGTGTGCCCCAAAGGAGGGGTCTGACCCCACTCAGCGAGAGTGTAGGAATCCAGCTCCCCCTACTCATGGCGCTGGCAAACCACCCAGGCCCTTCTCCCTGACCCCTTTGGAGGACTGTTCTGGCTGGCTGGCTTCTAACAAGCTGGGGTTTAAGTTGCTGGTGAGGCAGGAGGGATCCTGATTTGAGCAGCTTCCCTCCTTCCTGAGACCCATGCTGGTGCCTCAAGCCCACAGGCAGTGAGGGCCAGGCTACCCTGGCAGGGACCCTCTGTGCTGGCCCTGAGCAGAGGCCTGGGCTCCTGTGTTCATGGACGCAAATGAGGAAACTCAAAGTCCTGAAAGGAGAGGGGTCCCTGAGATCTCCCTGTGTTTACAAGAGAGCAGTGGGGTGACCAGGAGGGGACTCAGGCCCAGAGAGGTCATGGCACTGTGCCCACGCCAGCCAGCAGCAAGTCAATGGCAGACTCACCTAGGACCCAAAAGGGGGCCTGCTGCCCCACCTGATAGACACACATGTGAGCAGCTTATTCTATGCCAGGCCCAGGAGGCAAAACAGGAAGATGGGAAAGCAGCCATGTGGGTATCAGTCAACTGTCCCTTGCCATGCCAAGGGTCACCCCCCCCCCCCGCAGCCAGGCCACCTGGGACAGGAGCCGGGACAGATTTACTCCCTGGATGGTCAGGCGAGACCTCCCTGCTGGGACAGAAAGGAGCCAACAGCTCCTGGCCGAGACAGACACCCCAGCTCCCGGGAGCAGCCACAGCCTTCCAAGAGCCACAAGGAAGTAGCTGGCACCCCGTGCCAGCCAAACTCAGGGCCTTCGCCCACATGCCTGACCTGGCCCGGCTAAGGAGCCACGGCTGCCAGCAGCAAATGCTGCACATCTGCAGGAAACCCACACACCCCATGCCCCACGTCCGAATGCCGCCCAGCTTCCCAAGTGTGTCTCTGCCAAGGGAGCAAGCACCCAGCCTGAACAGTCAGCCCTGGTTGGGGGGGGGCACATGGATCACACACACACACACACACACACCCGCCAAGCACATTTTCCACTAACGCCAATTCAGAGACCACAGACAGGAGGCAGCAGGAAAGGCAGCAGGTTAGGAAAAGGAACACAAATATCCGTGCATCCTATATTACATAAATACCCACGCAGGGTTACATAAATACCCGTGCCCTCTGTCTGGGTCTTACATAAATATATGCACATGACCCCCGGCACCCTCCCCGCACCAGGCGTCTGTCTGCAGAGGAGAGAGGTTCGAGAGCTGTATTACCTGCAGGACCCCACAACTGCCCTATTTGCCACCCAGAATTAGGGTCTCCCAGTGCTGGGAGCCCAGGGTCCCCAGGTCAGTGCAGTCTGTCCCAGCACTACCTCCCCCAAAGACCCCCCAGAAGAAAACACACGTGCTTCATCCGGGAATGGGGGCAGCTTTCCAGTTCTTTGGCTGCGTCTCCCAGTGGAGTGGGGTAGGGGTGAGGGGGATAAACAAAGTGGTGGGGAAAAAGGCAGACACGAAGACTGAGGAGTTTCAGCTGGTTAGGAAAATTAGACAACTACCAACCAGCGCGGCACACACGGACAAGGTTTTTACTTCCCGACACCTCCCCCCTTTCCCACAGCCAGGACCTTTGTCACTGGACCATGAAAATAAAAACCGAAGGCACAGCTTAGACCCTAAGATCGAGGAGCCCAAAACACCCGCATTCTCTGGAAGCAACTTAAGACACTTTCCCCTTCTCTCTCCCCAAATCCTTCTCCCTGGGGGAAGCTACACCAAGAGCAAATAGGTAAGAAAACTCAGGGCAAAGTTGGGGAGGGGCTGGCCTCACTCTGAGTTGGACGTTAGGAGGAGCTGGGGTCCTCTCTAAGGTCGGGGTACCAGTCCCATGGTCGCCCGCAGAACAAGGGTTTCTCTCAGGGAAGGAACGGGAGAATCCCAGCTGATAAATAACCCCACCCTTCCTCTCCACAAAGGAAAACAAAGCTGGTGGCCTGGGGGGACCACACACTCCAGCACCCCAGGATCTCAAGACACCGATCCAACAGGCGGGGACAGCCTTGCTGACCCAGGGTGCAGGGCAGCAGGGCCAGCGAGGAGGGGGGCGCTGCTGATCGCCCAGAAACCTACAGAAGCCCAGGGCTTGGCCAGGAAGCCCCAAGACACAGGACCGGGTGCCCTCAGCTCCCCGGTCCAAGCCCCCTTCCTCGCCCTCCCTGAATCTCTGCCCGGGGTCACCCCCGGCTGGGGCCTAAAGGGGGGTCAGCTGGGGGGGGCGCGCCGGACTGGCGGGGCCCTCCCTGGGCAAGCGTGCAAAATAACACTCCCCCTCCTCCGCGTCCCCGGCCGCGCCTTTGTCCTCGCCCGGCCGGGCGGGCGGCGCCCGGACTGCGCCCCCCACCGCGCGGCGCGAACGCGCGTGTGTCGCCCTCCCCGCCCTCCTCCCAGCAAAAACAAAGAGGCGGAGGGAGCCCCGTTTCCCTCCGGCTCGCGCCCCTCCGCGGGCCCGCGGACCCCCGATACTCACCCCGCCGGGAAGGTGTCGGAGCCAGGCCGCTGCTCGGGGGTCTGCCGCGGGCGGGGGCCGCCCGCCGGGGCGGATGCCGGAGGATTCGGGGCGCTGGGCGCGCCAGCCTCTCCCGGCCCAGCCGCCGTGCCGCACCGCACCGCACCGCACCGCGATCCGCTCCGCTCGGCCCGGCCGACTCTGCTCCGGGCTCCGCCGCCGCCGCCTCCCTCCGCCCGGCCGCCTCCCG